TGCTAAGTGTTCGTGTTGTGAGACTCGGCTCGGTCGCAGCGAAGCTGCTCCCATAGTCTGGAGTCGGTGATGTGACAGCGTTGTATCAGTGTCACGGAGAGCAATCATAACATTCCTTTCCTCCAAGTCCAAAGCTTGTTTTAAATTCCCTTGGCAGCAGAATGCTTTAGGGGGTCAAACACACCAAATCTCTGAACAATAATAGGCCAACTATCAGTTACATCTCTCGCCTGTAATCATTGGCCGGCATTAAAAGCATCTCTTTTTCTGTTCTGCATACTTGACTGTGAATGCTTTTGAAATGAGTATAATGTAATCTGTGCCGCAGATATCTTCTGCTTTTGTGCATCTATCCAAGCAGTGAATGGTCGGGCCTATCAGTTACTCTCTGGAGGTGATGTATACACTCTCTAGAACAATGCGACAAACAGATGAAGGCTATAATATGGTGCCCGTTCCTACTCTCTCATTTTTCAGGGTTATTTGGGCTTTTCTTTCGGGAAAACAATTTACGTGCCGCCTACCGAGGTAGGAGCTCATCTTTGGCAGCGTGTGCAAAGTTCTCTCCAGATGACAGAACAGTTTAGATATCTACTAGCAAAACTTTCATAGACTGGACTGCGAAATATAAAAGCCATAGGTGCCACAAACAGAAGCATAGCTATACTAGTATCATGCAAAACGTGCATACAGAATAGGAGATGGCTTTGCTTTTAACTTTTTACAAATCGAGGTAATCAATAAAGTTGTGGTGCAAACACACAGACCAACAACAGAAATCCATATTAACGTAACTGACGAGACATAAAATTTCCATTCCAAGACGTATCATTTTGACATTATCTTCCAGATATAAAAGTTTTTATTCTTTGACTGTGATGTGTGTCAGATTATCCACCTGGCTGTCTGTCTGTATTACCCTTTTCATTTTCACACTGACGGTTTCAAGAATAAAGACACAGGGTTTAAATACATCTCCGCTACCGAACAGACATTCTTCAACAGATGTGTGACAGATAATGTCAGTCTAATCTTTGAAAGCAACAGCATCAACTTTACTATGTATTTATTGAAAAAAAAAAAAAAAGAGAGAGAGAATGATCTTTAGAGATTACAATTTAAATCAGCTTTGAGGTAAGTGTAACTCACTTTTCCAAACTTTCTTTTTAATTACAGTTGAAATGCTTTTCTACACATTCTTTAGGGGAAAACACAAATAGGAAAAAAAACACCTTCGTCTTCTTGAAATTAAATTAGAGAAATGTGATTTTTTTTTTGCAGGAAAGATGAACACAATGATGAGACTGCAGAGCTTAAAACAGATACATACAAAGCAGAGGAGGAAGTCATTTGAGCAATTATAGAGGGACATAAATGGGCCAGTAAGAGCACTCTGCCCCACTTTATCAGGCATCTCCAGCATTGTCCATAGGGAGTTAACTTTTAGACTGTTTACTGGCTAAAAGGCCAGGCATGCATCTGAAGCCACATAGGCAAGATAATGTATCCCAGGCTACAAAAGCAGGCAAATCACTGTGCATTAAGACTGGACACACAATAGACAACAATGGCTTGCATAAACACTATTTAGAACTATTCACATGGCATTGAAGAGATGGGCGTCGACTCACTATTGCTGCAAAGCCGGCGCATTGTGCGGAGGTGAAAAGAAGTCTAATGAACAGGAAGCCTTATTTGAGAGAGCTGACAGTAACCATACAACAGCCGCATTGTGCGCTTGCCACCAACCCTGTGGGTCTCTACATTAGGAGAAATGATGAGAAAGTAACCCGAAAAGACACAGTGGGCCCTTGGACCCACGTAAATGCAACCAGACAATAATGGGGGACACAAGCTGTCCCCACCTTTACCCAAAGCTGCACGTTTACATGCACAGAACATCAACCGCTCTCATGGCCAAGGATAAAAGCCCCCTGGCCAGATGGAACTTTGAAGTACATTTGGGTTAGTTTACCACCAAAGACTGCAATTTTAGTGCAGCAGCAGTTAAAATATATGTCATACATTTTAAATTAAATCAAACTCTGCAGGGGAAAGTTAGAAATTCTCGAGTTTTGGTGCACCAAGCCTCCCGTCTCACACTCACACACACACACACACACACACACATTCACATTATGCCCCCTGCCTCAAGCTTCATCAATCTTCCACAAAGGGATGACATCACCAATAAGCATAGCCTTTTATAGCTTTAAGCAATAAGCCTTATTTACTGATGAGATAAGCCCTCGGCTATTGTCTACCCTGCACTTTGCTTCTTTCTCTCGCAGTTGAAGAATCAAACGGCACTTTTGGAAGGTGACAGAGCATGTCCAGGATTTAAGGCTAAAGCATGCAAAGAGGTTTCCTATTTGGTGGCCTTTCAAAGGGCCACATTAGCCAAGTGGCAGGGACAGGTAAAATTGCAAAAAAAAAAGCAGCCTTATTGGAAAGCTTTTTTTTTGTTTTTCCTCCCATTTTCAGCAACTTTTAATAGAAATACATTAGTTTTAACTTTGGCCGATAGCATCCTGAATGTAACACGGCGCTCACTCACACCACAGCCGGGATAATTTACAAAAACATAATCATCCGTTACATGTGTGACCTGTAATTACTGTTTGTAGCAGTGTTACTCAGCCAGTCCATAAGGCCAAGCCAGGGTGGTCACTAAACTGCTGAGGCACCATGAGACAGTGTGGCTTATTAAATCTCACGTGTGCTACGCTGGGAGGAACTTCTTGCAGTTTGTTTGCGATGCTCGATCAAAGAGACACTGCTAGTTACGCGTCCTCTAATAAGTTGGAAATTGACACTTGGTGGTTCTCATTTTTCTACTTTGGGAAAGTCTGTCATGAGGAAAACTAGGTCTTACCGAGTTACGATATAGTAAATATGTAACATATTCCAAATTGAGTGCCTATTTTTAACAAGATAAAAAGCCATTTTCTAACACACTACATCCAGTGTCACCAACATGTATCTTTAAAAAATGTGCCATTTGTTGTTTGTTTTTCTGAGCTCTACACAGAGTCACGTCAGGCCTTGGGAACTTGTCAGATATTCAGTTTGTAGTCACTTTAGAAAGGCTGAGCACAGAGTCTCTGGGGAATCGCTCCAGTCTCCCCATCTCCCCCACCCCATGTCACCAGCCAGGAACAAAGCCGCCATAGTCAATTCTCCTAATTTCACTGCAGCCTGTCGAAATCCTGTTCTCCTTTTCTCCTTCTCTTCAACAAGTACTTTATGTTGGGATCAGTCAGGTCTGAGTCGCCCACAAAAACCTGAGGCTCTCGCTTCATCGTCTTTCAGCACCGGGTTTGACACTCCCCAGCTCCCTGCCATTCAGACGCCTTCACCATGCAATTTGTTTCCATTTGTCAAACAGCAGTATCCATCACAAAAGAAAATGCTGGCACAACAGAAAGTTTGTGAAAAACATTGTCTCCTAAACCCAAAATGGCCTTCAGACTACCTACTTATTGGCCCGTAACAAAACAACCTTAAACAATTTACAGCACTTTCAGTTGTTACAGATACTTGTTACATTATTCTTCTCTCAACTGACAATAAAACATCTTTAGCTGAATACAGCAGGTATCGCGCCCTCGAATCGGCACCGACGTATCACTGCTCCCTTAAAGTGTGGATGGGCTAGCTGCTACAGTTTGAATTCATCATTTTATTCACTGCCTCCACATTGTGCTGACTCTTATTTTGTGTTTTTATTTCTTTGGGATTAAACTTCATTGTGCGGACAAGCCAGGTTTCTCACGCACATTTGTTTATTAAAGCTATATCAGCACTATGTTGACAGCACTGCTATTTGCACACCTATTCAGATATGTCTTAAAATGGTCCTATTATTGGGGGGACGTAGGAAGGTATCTGGTTAATAATACTTATTGTGCAAACTTTGTTGTCGCCATTCTTGTGTTGGCTGTTATCGAGGGGAGAGCAGAGAGGATATATGCTGACTCTGATGTAGATAGCGCCATGAGTATTTCTATTGTGGCAGCTGCCGTGTGGTGAAGTCCCTGATAGGGTTTCGAATGCTGTCAATGCTGTGTCAGGTGCATTAGCACCTCAGAGACCCATGATGCTCCAGCTGCTGTGTGCCTGTGTCTCCCAGGGCCCGGGCCGCCAGCCTGACACCCGACACAAAGTAATCACAGATCACAGTGTTTAATCACTGAAACAAGCACTCCAGAGGACCCCACTGTCAATATCCCAGTCTCTCATTATCTGTTTGGATTGCACATCCACACTGTCAGATAAACAGAGTGGAAAATTAAGATTAAAAATATGGTAATTTCATTTCAGGCAGCAGGCTCCTCTCACTGGCCCATTATGCTATTGATTACCGCTGAATTCAATTTTTCTTTTCAATGTAAACTTTAATCTATTCGCAAGCCAACAATTCAACTCCCGAGGGGCTATTTGAGAGTAAGTAACCATTTAATATGACGCCGGCTGAAGATTCATTGGCTTTAATGAATTGTGTAAATCACTCAGCTTTTAAAGGAACTGATGTCCCGCAGTTCACGACCCAAATTCGGGGTTGGTTAAATGCTGCCTTTTTAGACCAAGCTAAGTGTTTACTGACAAGAATCTCTGAATGTGTAATGACCGGCTTTGCTCTTCTCTCTATGAAGCCAAATTAAACAGCCCTTTTCAAACGCCAAAATTACATTTTAATCATCATATTGCACGACTGAGATGTTAAAATAATACAGTGGAGAGCTGCAGCCTTTTACCACTGAGGCAGAATTGAAAAATCACTTGAGTCAACACAATAATCACCAGGTTGTTTTCCTTAACCACTTACCAATTTGTAGCATCATGTTCAAGACCAGTTGTAACCACTGACCTGAGGCAAACACACCATTCAGACAACTGAATATAGGATGAGCAACAGCAGGAGGAAACAGTGAGTCAGTGGAACAATAAAATGAAGACAGCAGGGAAAAAGTCAAGCAATACTTGTATTTGTATTTTTTATTTTAATAATTTAATCTAAAATATATGTGAACATTTGTCACCTTTTTTTTTTTTAAATGACGAAACATCTACAAAGTGCAAACTTCATAAAATGTTACCTTCACTAGTTGGTGCTATAGACGACAAACAAAGACACAGAAATCAAAGCGTGGGAATAAATACTGAGCTACAAGTAGTCATACTACATTCAGTACATACTACTGTCGAAGTAGAAATGCTACATTTTTAAAGCAATGACGTTACATTATTCAAAAATGTAAAGACAGAGAGTTAGTATTACACTGGAGAAAACTCTTTAGAGGCATTAAAGGTCCGTCCAGTGTTCTTTGGTGTTGGTATCATTGCCTGCATGACATGTTCCATTTTAATTTTGCTGTTTATTTTACTGGCAAGAGCTGAGGTAGACAAAAAAGAACCCCCACTGGAGTGAAAGTGCAGGAAGACCATTCAATTATAACAGTGCAATTACTAAGAATCAATAGTCTGATTAAGGCACAATGATTACTGAAAGCATCCGTGTCTCCTTCCTCGTTTTGACAAGCACTTTCCAAATAATGAAAAGACTCGAGTCCTGCAAAACGATTGCTCGCCTTAAAAGAATCATTTAAGCCACCAATATAAATTTATAATTATATTATATAATAATTCAATATCCGCACTCTTTTGAGCACCAGTGCAGAGTTGAAGATACCCAGGAGGCCAGAACACACATACATAAACATAGCAGTGTGTAATCAATAAACAGCCATGCAGTCATATGCTGTCAGTGAAAGGCACAGGCTGCCTCAGATACTTGCCTCTTTTTCTGTTCCAGACCAAAAGGTCTACGCCAGTCAAATGCAGCACACACTACACTAAGCCTTCTGGGAGGCATTTTAATTTACATGAAGGAATCTAAGTGTATGTGGTAAAAGAGTTTGGTCACCGACGGCCAACGCGAGGACCACAGCGACCCTCCAAACCGTCAAAGAGACGTCTCAAAGATGACACTGATGTCCTTGGCACAGCGCACGTCAGTCACCCGCTTTTTGTTCATGTAAACCTGAAAGCGGATCAGGGAAGCAGTGTCACAGAATACAAGCACACTGTCCAATCTAAGCTACAATCTGTTAAGGTGTGATTTATGACAGATCCAGTCAGAGCACGGCGAAGGGATTTATCATCCGCTGAAGCATGCAAAAGTGGCTTACTTAGCCTAATAAACAACTGTGAAATTCAAGGGAGAAAAATTTTGGAGATAATCGCAGGAATTATTTGTCGAGTTAATTTCCTCTAACAGTGGCTTCTGAGCTGAACACTGAGCCGCCGTTTAAAAAAAACAAACTGGATTGCAGCATTTGCTTAAAGTGTCTATGAAATGTGTGCTTTCTTTATACAAAGAGGCTCTAAACAGACTGATGATTTCAATAAAGAAAGTTTGCAAGAAAGAGGCAAAAGAGGTAAAAGCTTGGTCACAGCTTGAGATATACTGTCTACTCTGGGCTTCTCCTTTAACATGGACAAAGGAGCCAGAGGTTGATATCAGATTATTGAATGTATTTAAACCTTGACTGACAACTATAGAAACTTGACACACAACATGTGGACCATCTCAGTATTTAATAAGTGGTGCTAGACAGTTATGGATGCTGCAGTAATCTGATCTAAGCAGAGCACGCTACAATAAAGAAAGGAAAACGTAAGGGCTTGAACAATGTCACTACCAATCCGCCAGTGTGCAGGGTAAGACGATACCAAATAATACCACAGTGTGCTGAGTCTTTGAAATCAGTATTTTACTCATTTCACTCCTCTGGCTGAGAAGATACAGTTCCGCTGATAAATTTGTGCGAGGGACAGAGAGAAAATGAAATGATGCCTACTTTTTCTTATTTCACAAAGACCTGTTTGAAGTTGCAATATGGTATCTGTAGTCCCAGACAGATGCACATAAAATGGAATTGAACAATGAATAGCCGGCTCTTATCTGTGCAGTGTCTGAAGGGGAAATACATCACAAATGAATTTCACAGGGAAAAAATATGGACATTCTCTATTACAGTAATCCCCATAGAAAGTTTATCCCAAATCGCGATGAAGTTAAACCCAATATTTCAAAATAGATATAGCGCAAAGAAAGCTGCTTTTCTAGAATCATCGCTAAAATGATCTCGAAATTACATTATGAGAAAAAAGATTATATGGAGAGTTGCTCCGATAGTATCAGAGGATGTAAATCTACAAAGGGACAATTTCTCCTCTCGAAATTAATGTTATGCTGTCGCAATGCTCCGAGTAGACACTTTAAATTAAAATGGTAATCAAGTGTCTTTGCATTGTCAGGGTTATGCACATCTTCTGTTGCTTAAATGTATTATTTTGGAGGTGAGCAATGAAGTCTGGAGTTAAAGGGAGAGTCTGGGATTAGTGCGCCACGGCTGGACTCTTATTTAGTGACAGCCCTGTCCTGGGACAAAGGTGGATGTGGTTACCTGTTTGGCTGTATGCAGCAGTGAGGCAGCCTCGGCTCTGCCTGTCTGTCGGACCATCTGGTAGAAGAGCCCTTCCTGGTTCTGGAGCAGCACATATGGCTCATCATACTCCTGGATCCTGCCAGCATCCAGAACCTGCAATCATACGTACAATGGTGGGTGTGTGTGCGTGTGCCACCGCCTGTATACTTTACTTTGGGGAAAACTGACATTTCAGCTGTTTCCCTGCTGAGTGGTGCATGCAGACAGTGCGAGTTGAATGGGGAAACAGTAGGTCTGCGCACATAGGAACCATCCATTTTATGTGACTCATGCAACAGCAAACACCCGTGCCTGTTTCTGCTCGAAAGGGCCGTGGACAATGAGAGTAACCTGTTAGCAGCGTGAAAGTCTAGCGCGCTGACTCTGACAGACAGGAGATCACTGATTTATCCATGTATTTATCCTGGCATTTCAGAGGCCTAGGGGTGGTCCTCAGTCAAATCCAACAATCACACCTTTAAGACACTCTGGAAAATTACCATCATTTCTATGTCATCACATGCCGTGAAAACCACACAAAGAATAGTGCCAATTCAAGCAGTTTGGAAAAGACTACAATTATATCACAGACAAATTTTAACAAGCCCGATCCCCTTACAGCGGTAATGAGCAGTTTGTTATCAGTAAAGCCCAGTTTCAGGGAGTGTTAGTGTGAAAGGGAGAATTCAGCAGCTGCAGTCATAATCAAAAGTTTAGGAGCAGCCTACCAGGAGATGGAGTTTGTATCCTGAAAAACACTCGGACAAGGGAACACACTGGGGTCCCCATTTAGTTCCCCTGGAGTGTGTGACAGTGTGGGGGCATTTAACACAAGTGTAGGTGTGAAACAGTCCCCACTGTGTGATATTTGGCTTTTTTCCTCGACCCTCTCAGTGACCAAGCAGCCATCGGGTCAGGCCCTGTCCTCCATAGACGCTTAACAAATGCTGCCACAAATGGCACTAATTGGCACCTCTGCAGGCAGTAGCAGGAAAGGGCCAAAGATCAAGTGGCATGAGGATAAGTTCAATGAAAGGGGATGCTGCGAGTGAGAAATCAGCCCAGCTGTTGCAAAGAACGGCAAGTGAATTAAATCCGGAACCTGACAATGAAGGAAAAGAGGTGTTTGTAATCTGTGTATCTCAGGTGTGTTTGACATACAACAATGGGAGGGAATCTGAGGCACATGCCTATGCAGGCAACTTCACAGGAGAGTTCAGTTAATTATAGTTAAAGCGTTTGTCAAAGTTTGTAAGGAAGCATCTCAAAAAAAATTGGGCGAAAAGCACCAAACTGCTCGGTTGTTTTTTTTTTCTTTTTTTCTTGAAAACAACTGCTGTCTCGCTGGTATTGTCAACTTCACCAAAGGAGGACAGTCTCATTTTAAAATACTGACTGAAGTGGCAGACAATGGAAATTTACAGCATCCTTACTTACCAGTATTCTGTCACAGTCAATGATAGTGTTGAGCCTGTGAGCAATGGTGAGGACTGTACACTCTTGAAACTTGTCCCGGATAGTCTGCTGGATGAGGCTGTCAGTTCTAAAGAAGCAGGAAACACAACACCTGAGAACAAGAAAGCTCTCTTCCTATAGACCCTTGGGCAGGGATTTTACGCAATGCAGAACAATGGTTCATCAGCAGCAAAATATGCGCAATAGCAGACACACAAAATAGAGGATATCAGAGGTGTGTAGCTTCACAAAACATTGTGCATTTTGCTGCATATTAATGTTTTTTACTTTGTCTTGTGGGCACAGATTTCATTGCACATTACACACAATAATATGATATTTTCCCACACTAATAGTGAACAACATATAGGTGTTGTGTTTAAAATATTAGCTACTCACTACATGGATGTTCTGATCAATCTGTCCCTGGAAGGCACTCACACTACGCCCACTCAGATTGGACCGCTCTAATAATCCAAGTACATGATTTTTTTTCTCGAGAATTATTCTTTTATCTACGCTGTTTACCACCCAGCAATGTCTGTCATAGTTCATATATTTTTGCATTTTTTCAAAGGTTGTGAAAGACTTCACTTATGTGCTACTGGCATATCTCCACAGACACTTAAACGTAAGTGTTGCTTTAAGAATATTTTCTGAATAACTCTGCAGATAATCTTTCTAGTGATGTAACAGTTTTATTACATTCAGGTAAAATTCACCCATGAAAAGTATCACTAGTTTGCGGTCAACAAATTACATGTAGAATAGGCGGGTTCCTGCACCGATGTGAAACAGTTTAAGTGTTAAGTGTCCCTGACCTTGGATCCACATTGGCTGTGGCCTCATCAATAATTAGGATGCGGTTCTTCCGGAGGATGGCCCTGGCCAGACACACCAGCTGCCTCTGGCCCACGCTGAAGTTAGAGCCTGACTCCGTCAGCACTGTCTCCAGCTTATTGGGCAGCTCCTCCACCACGGCCTTCATCTGCACCTGCAGAGAGGGAGAGCACAGCCCCAACCCTTCATTACTCCTGTATAAAGGCGTCCTGTGGGGATGTCTTTAAAGAGCCATCCAAACACACCCATTAACTGCCTGGCACAATGCAGGGCCAGGTCCACTGATGACCTTGGCCAGTGCTCTCTTGTGGCTAGCCTCTAGCTTTAATCCAGGCCACCAAACCCATTCAGAGGCAGGACCAGGAGCTGAAGCCCTTCACTGTGGGGGGAGCCTTCATCCTGGTTGGCCTGACTGCCCAAACACATCTCCCCCAGCACTTTCAATGGTTCCCAGTTACAAGCCGCACATTGAGCTGGGCCCCATGGCCCTAATGGGATTTCCCCCCATGACTTGTGGCGAGCAGGGAGGCTGAATGGCAGCATTGTACAGGGGGACAGAGGGATCCCCCCCTGGGCCGGCGAGGGGGAATCATTCAGAGCCACGCTGGAGTACCTCTTGGAGTGCATTCCACAGGTCCTCATCTGTGTGCTGCCTGAAAGGGTCCAGATTCTTCCTCATGGTGCCCGTGAAGAGAACTGGGTCCTGTGGATAGATGGATATAGAAAGAGAAGGCCGTGGCCAGTTAAGATAATGACAAGGGGGAAGATGTCTGAAAGGGTTAAGACAGGCTTTATAGAGAACCGCTAGGCAATGTGTGAGGGGAAGATGTTCACAAAGGGCTTGCTCCACTCAGGAGCTCTATTCAATGCTCTCGCCAACTATGCTTCAATAAGTTGATCTTTTTACTTGGAAAACCAGAGCTTGTGCGCTGGTGCTGGCGGAGAATAGCTGTGCAAGGTTGTCTAAATGTATAATATGACACAAAAGTGCCACCGGATCGATATTCAAGAAAAAAAAATAACAACCACCATACAGTGGCTGCAATACAATCAATAATCTCAAAGTCTACAAGCATCTGTCAATAGGGTTTATCACATTAGTCGACTACCCTCATGAAAGGAAAGCCTTAGATCTCAGACAGCACGGATGTCCAAGATATGTATTTATGGTGAGCCATGCACCTGTATCAAGGTTCAGCCGCACAGCCATCTTTAAGAGGGCAAATAAAGCTCTTTATTACAGTGTAATGGAAAGAGCCTGTAAGTCCACAGGCACTGTTCCAACATGCCACTCTGCTTGTGGTAAACCTGATAAAGGAACAATCCGGCATCTCCTCATGTCAGGTCAGATATTTATTCATGAATCCTGCTTCAATGTAGAAGTGATTTACCGAACACTTACTAGAGGACTCTCCCTGGTCTCTTACCTCTCACAGTACACAGCTGCTGCAGATAAGGCTTTTGTATGGCGTTATTTCGACATTGTTTTATCAGTGAACAAACACAGCTGGGATTTCCTACGAATCACAACACTGAATTTATGACTCCTGGATGGTTATAATGACCATTTAAAAAAAACTCCAAAGAGATGTGACTGAGTAGGTGACGGTAACGGAGGTGACGCAGAGTGGCAGCTCTCCATAACCAAAAACTGATGCCTCTATACTTCCATTGTAACCCCTTCACAGTCACGGCAATGTGATAACTCCAGCTTACTCAAGATACGAATCTGACCTCAAATCTAGATATGAAATGTTCACCTGGCAACTGTGAGATTAGACCAGGAGCAAAAGTAAAGTACACAAATGGTCTAAAAGGCTGAGCGTCCTGCATTAAGGTTACAGAAACTACTACTTGTGACTCACTATCCACACCTTCATCTCTGCTCTCTTACAGGTCAGCTCCAGAGCTCCCGCTGCGACGGCATCACAGAAAAGAAAATAGAGCACGCGCTCATGTGTGGAAGCGCACACATTTATTCCGCCTCCAATATAAAAATCATGTCTCAACAAACTGTCATGTAGGTCAGAAGACTCAGGACTAACTGCTCAATTTCAATCCAGACAAAAAAAATAAAGCTTTCGGGGCTTCATCCCTGCTACCTGTGCCTTAGAAAATGTTCCACCTCTTTACTTCCAATGAGCTTTTCCCTCTGTCACCAAAATACCACCTTGTCATTAAGCCAGCTGAAGTCCCAATTCAAACTAGTTTTGTGACACACTTTAATTGAGGATTCAATGTTAGGTCGGAAAAACTGCTTTCAAGCACAGCTTTCCATAGACCGATTATGTGCTCCACCAATTCTAAGCCCTCTGTTTGCCACAGAATTCATTTTTTACTAAGTCATTCCCGAGAATTCAATAGAAAGTGAAATGGATCCTTTTTTAATGCCATATGCTAATACAAGCTTATCATAATCAAATCTGTAGGTGGCAAATAATGAAACTCCTCACCGGCAATGTATAGTATACATATCACACTTAAAATTCCACACGAAAAGTAAGCCAACTAGCAATTCATATCAAGATTTTTTTCCATGTGAAAGGTTGACTGAATATCACTTCATCTCTGACGTCTAGCGGGGGAATAAAAAAGGCTTTCAAATGTATTTGTGTAAATCCAAGAGACTTCTCGCCATATATAAGTTTGTAAAACTAAGCGCACAGTACAGAGAAACTCTGCTCTTCTAAGTGCTGCTGCCTACATAATGAACATGCCATCAGTATGTGATACAGATGGGCGTGCAGTTAAAGTTCTGACTCGTAACGTGCCACTTTGTACAAGTCTCTCCCTCTAGGAGAGACAGAAAGAGTAAACAAAATCACATCAAACATACATCACATCCATCTCAAACTAGTTTGGACTGGGAAGTAAAACTTTATCTGAAGTAGTAGCAATGCCAGGAACCTATCAAATCCACAGAGAAGCATTAATGAAACTGTTTTTGGGCATCTTGGCTGCACCCTAGAAATGTTTGAGACTTGGGCTAAGTGACGGTGTACAAGGGGACTCTGACTGTGAGGATGGGGGAGACTTCTTCTAAGCAGCTTTCCCATGTTTGGGGGGTAGAGGGCTAATCCTCTGTCAGGGATGGGGAACTGCTCTCTTCACAGCACAGGCCGTGGGAGTCTTCTCCCCTCCCTCCACTCTGCTGACACTCACCCGCAGGCTGGCATTTTCTTAATGCCGTATCAGTTTCAACAAGCGGAAATAAAGTTAAACTGTCTCAAGGCATCCGTTTGTCTCACTTTCAGAAATCCCCTGAGTGACGACTGTAATTCTCCTCACTTGTTTTAGCTTTTTAAAAGCCAGGCGTATAAAAAAAAGGGCCAAAGCATGAAGGTTTCTGTTACCATCGTTCATCTGACATTTCTCAATCATGAGGAATCCCAGAACCTTACAGAAGCTGTCAAAGCAAAAGTTTAGCAGTTTTAGAAAAAGGACAAAGAGGTGAACAGAGTGGCTGAAATAAACTACGACACCTAATATCTAATGTTTTGTGTTCCATTCAAATGTAACATTTAGTTTCAATTACCAACACACAAGAGGTAAGACTGTGGCAATTTAAAAAAGGAGCACCTGCGGGATGATCGACATTTTCTGGCGCAGCGTGTGCAGACCAATCTCAGAAGTCAGAAAGCCATCAATCATTATTCTTCCCTCAGGTTCTGCCAGCCGGAACAAGGCAGAGATCAGGGAGCTTTTACCAGCACCGGTGCGTCCAACGATGCCAACCTATAGCGGAGAGAAGGATTGTTAGAACTGTAAAATTGAAAGAAAAAACAAAAAAGCACCAAAAAGAAAAAATAATGCTGTTGTGTGCCTTCAGACTATTAATAGCACTGGTGCTCATTGCTGAATTGTCGTGCCACTGAGGAACCATGTCATAAGTCAAACACTAATGCAAGCCCTTGTAAGGCATTGAGATAAGGCCTTGATAAGCCTCCGATGAACATTTATTAACAAAGGTTCAAAACCAAAAATATTCTCGTATCTTGATGGCTTCATTATTAAGCTTCGACACACATTTCACTTTGATTCCGTGACACCTAACTTGATATATTATCTGTGTTGAATCTTTAGCATGTTTATGATTCAATCTATCAATTTTCAAGAGCGGTATACTGTATTATTTATTAAGGTGCTTATCTCAAAGTCAGGCTGATCACATCTGCTAAAATCTGTAGGTTAAAAAAGTGTAGTTACTTATTATAGCTCACATAACAGGTGAAGCCACGAAACAAGGTTTAACTACCCATCTTTTTCTTATTTGTATGTTGAAAATGTGCATCTTCTGTAAGTGATCCAATCAGGATGAGGTCAGAAAGTCCATTAAATCTCACTGAGGCTGATCTAGTGAAAGAGCAGCCTCACAACTAGTCCTCACTCGCTTCTTACTGTGTGTGGTGGAATATCAGAGTCACCCTGCCATCACCGTGGTGAGAATCACACCATTCACAGGTCCGCGCTAATGCTAATGTACACAGGCCTGACGAAGACAAACAAAGAACATGGGCAGGAGAGAACAAACTGTTCACAGTATTTTGCTCTGAGGACTTCTGCCCAGAAGCTGAACTCAGACCATAAGAAAGACTCAGATTCAGAATCCAGTGAATAACAATGTTGTCAACAATGTCACCACTTTACAAATCACCAGTTGTTCCCCTAAACTGGGCTGATGACACTGCTGCCTGGTCTTTGGCGCTCACTATCTCTAATATTTTTAGCGTGCTGATACAAAAAAAAATAAGTGGCTAGATCGACGGAGATTACAGAAGCCCTATTATATGCTGAAACCTGTGTTATGTACTTTTTTCATCTATACTGTCATATGAACTATTAGGGGAACACTCAATCACATTATTTTAAAAAGTGCAGGTATACATCACATGTGATTCTCACCCTCATACATAAACAACAAAGTAGGTTATTTGTATGTCCTTACATGGGAATTCCAAAAATGACTTCACTGTGGAAGCATTAAACACAAAACACATGTGGGACCATTCGCGGAGTGGATGTGTTACTGAGAGTACCTGTTTACTGACTATACCTGAAGTACACATGAAGAGTTCATTTGCAAAAACAGATAACTCCATTTCTGTAGATTTTCAGAAAACTTTTTTTTGTTGTTTGCTTGAGATAATATCAATCAAACTGAAGTTGATTCAGTAGAAATGACATGACAAAAAGAGAGATAACTTAAGTTTGATTGATATTGTCTCAGGTAGATGATGGAAAAGTGGGTTTTCTGAAGGTTTGTGAAGATGGAGTTATCTGTTTTTGCAAATGAACTCTTCACATATAGTGCAGGGTTTTACCAAAAAGAAAAAGAGCATTTATTTAGAGATTGTTGTACATCCAGCTTTAGGAGCTAGCACAGCGTTGTAAAACTTTTTGAACGAGATTGTGTCATGTGGAAGTCAACATCTACTGACTACAGTAGTCTGTAAGGGCAAAGTTGTTGATATAGCCAGACCGATCAGCACAGCACTATGAATGGTAAATGGTCACTTATATAGCACTTTACAATGTGTTTCTCATTCACCCATTCACACACACATATTGATACACCAATGGCGACAGAGCTTCCATGCAAGGTGCTGCCTGTCATTGGGAGCAACTTCGGGTTCAGTGTTTTTTGACTGCGGGGGATCGAACCGCCAACCTTGCGATTGGAGGACAACCTACTCTACCACCTGAACCACAACCGCCCCACAGAATGGTCTGACTGTGCTTTACTATCATTCTGGTATAGAGGGGGAAATGCTCTGGCGTTGGTTTGTATTTCTTCAAACAAATAGCAGTCATTTTGGGCGGTGCTAAGACAAAGTTGAATTGAATTGTTTTGGTGGAACATTGACATCAACAGATGCTACCACCGTCATTAAAGCAGCCGATTTACTGGATAGAGGCAAGCAGGGCTACCTGACTGCGTGATCCAAATCTTTGGCATGCGTTTGTTGTTTGGTTGTTTCAAGTAGTGAAGTGGAGTTCAAAAATGCTTTCATGTAGATCATGGAAGGACGAGGTTTTTCAGGTTTATCCCCTCAGTCTACATCTGATGAGTCAGAATAGCTGGAACTGGTAATTAATGCATAAAGTGTGATTACGACTCCACAGTGAAAGTCCTGTTTGACAAAATGTAGTAATTTCCTGCAAACCAGTAGTTTCACTGAAAAAAAAAAAATATTGACACTTTGACTTATTTCTGAGTCAAGAGACCACACACACACCTCGCTTAAATATATTTTTTAAATGGTCTATTTTTACTCAACTCAGACCTCAGTAGTGGATATATACTGCTTCTGTGCTGCTCATATGCCTGGTGAGGCCAGTTTCACTGATTAAATTGGATGTGTATTACAGCAGCAGCTGCTCTACATATTAAGGCTAAGCTGAGTCTGTTTCTATTACCCAAAGGGAAAAAAGAAAAGAAGAAAACACTCATTAATGGTATGATCCAATCTCTTCTCTGCGAATTTCAAAGGTTTTGTGTACCTATCCATCCACCTTGACCTGCATTATAAAGAGTAGCACACTGCCTCCTGATTGGAGCTGAATGTAAACATAAATTCTAAGCCTACTAACCGATAATGGCAGTTGATTTTCTCAAGAGGATGTAGAGAAAAATCCAATTAGGAAAGCATGTTGTGAAATTACGGTTTTGCTATATACAATACAAGACAAGATTGAGGACTGTGCATTGATGGTGGTTTTCTAAGTCTTGGAGAAAAGTAATGTTCCTTTCTCTCTGAATGGAAACCTCTTTGTCGTGTTGTGGTGACTTGTATGATTATGTACAGTATATGACTATAGCACAGGACAGAGTGAAAAGATCTTGTACTGTAGGTGGTGGGGTAGGTGAAAGGGTGTCAGGGGAACTGTCAGGATGCACAAAGCCCTTTACCTCTGTGGCATGCGGCAGAGATCCCTCCCATGGGCTGTCAGAGCCAGGGCCTCTACACTTATCAACCCATCCATTGTGAAATCAGCCGCCCTGGCCAACCATAGCCATGCAAAATACACCCCCTGCATTAAACACAATTTCAATCATCCTCAACCATCTCCCTCCTGCTTTTCTCTCCCTCTTCCTTCACCCCTCTCCCTCGGCCTCTCCTCTCTCTTACAGTGAATAAACAGTTGTCACCGTCAGGTAGCTCAAAATGCAAATTGGTAACAAATGGATCCACTTGAACAGTCTTAATTACATGATATGTATTCCATGAATCACAAATGGTATAGTCCTGAAGATTCAGCAGCACAATACGGTGTCCCTTTAATAATTGATTTGAAAATAATGCCACATAAAAAAGAATCACACCACACCTTCTACACTTGCTGCATATCAACCTGAGTCATGGGCTGTGCACACCAGTAAGCATGCAAACTGTGGGAAGAAAGACAAGAACCTTTTCTCTGGATGTGAAGATAACAGTCAGGTTCTTTAGGACCAAAGGCTCACTGGCACCGTACGAGAAGTTGACTCTGTCAAAAGTGATGGAGCCTGTCCTGGGCCAATCACTGGGAGGCTGTTTGTCCGTCTCCCACGGTGCCTCACTCTCCAGCTCTGCATACTCAACCACTCTCTCCACTGATGTCATCTACATAAAAAAAAAAGAACATATATATATATAAGGCATTTCTTACAAGGAATTTTGCTCTTGATGACTTTAAAAATGCATGAAAAGTAAAACAAAAGTAAAGTAAATCTCAGGATGAAACAAACCCAATGGCGTCGTTGCAAAAATGTCTTTAAAGACACAAATGCTATTGTTGTCACATGTCGTTCTCCTCATGACAGTAAACTTAACTGTATATTTAAAGTTAGTGGAGTGCCTCTTTAACTCAGTAGAGTAACAGGCATTTCCAGTTTTGTTTTCCATAATTATATTTGTAAGATTGGTAGAGTCAAACCAACAACACAATTTGAGATTGACTACACATTTAAACATAACCCATGACTGTTTTTAGGTCAAATAAAACTGCAGTTAAGTGCTTTAATGTACACGTTCTCACCATGTTCTCGATCTCTGCACTTTGTCTGACGCCCCACTGGAACATGCCAGTGAGTGTAACAGCATAGGACAGAGCCAGACCCACTGCACCTGCTTCCAAGCCTTTAATAACAGACAAAAAGTTGTCACGCAGTTACATATTCATGAGTTTATCAGGATTTTACTAATAGCGTCTCATTGATCAGTAACGTGTACACGTTGTATCCAGAACCCATACAGTACCCTCGCGGAGGTAGAGGCAGCCAAAAGCAGTAATAGTTACAAACACTGAACAAATTCCATCGAGACGGACAGCGAACCAGCGAGATGTAGTCAGGAATAAGAACCAGGCCTCTGTTAACAAACACAACCACACAGATTAGATAGCACATGTCATCAGTGTGGCCTAAAGTTTGCATACATTAAAGGTCCAGTGTGTTGGTTTTCGGGGCAGAAGATATAGACTATAATATTCACAATTATGTTTTCATCAGTGTATTATCACCTGAAAATAGGAAACATTGAGGGTTCACTACCGTAGAACGAACCCCCTTATATCTACAGACAGAGTGAGTCCGCTTTGTTGCACGGCCATTTTTCAACAATAGCTCAGAAAGGACAAACTAAACACCAGCTCTAGAGTGCGTTTTTCACGTTTTTAATGGCTACCATACATTCTCCTACATTCATGGAAGGGGAAGGTGGGGCTAGGGGTATTTAATTGGTTGAAATTTTCAGCCTCTCCTCTAGATGTCACTAAATTTTGCACACTGCACCTTTAAAATAAAATCTAACAGTTTATACGGAATGATAATAGAACTTATAGAGAGTTAATGGCTTGGATTTTTTTTTACTTTTGAAGTAATATATATATTTTTTTTTACTCTCACCTGAGTGAAGATCTTGATATGCATCAAACATTTGCTGAAACTGCTGCTGAGCCTTGAAGGCACGGATGGTGCTCAGGCCTTGGAGAGAGGAGGAGAGGTGGGAGAAGACGGGACTCCGAGCTACAACAAATACAAACAAACCATTGTTAAATAGTGGCAAGACAAACATCAGTTAAACCAGCTAACCAGGCATTTACCACTTCAATTAAGATCTTCAAATCAAATGATTTCCTTATTTTACAGTTTGGACCACAATTTTTTAGCTATCAGCATGGTTTCAAGTGAAAGATGTGTGCTTCATCATGCAAACACTAAACACGTCTCTGATTCCAAACAATTGTGATTTACTGAAAGGCTCCAATTCAGATGCTTTTGTTTCTACTTTTTAGACTCACAAAGAACTTGACAAAACCTTAATGTTTCCTTTCAGCTTTTAAACTGAACTTTTGTTCCATAGAACCTGTTGGTCAATGTGCATTTATACTCTGAGCGCAGAATAAAATAGATGAACTAAAGCCTGCTATAGCCCAGTCATGCCCACTTGGCATTTTTCCCCATTGTACGCCATGTCATGAACTCCCATCTCTTGAGGAAACTGCGTGTGGCCGAGCCATAGGCCACCGCCACCTTTAGCCTTTATAATAATGACCATGGCTTTCTTCAATGGTCTATTAGCATTCCTGTGGTCTGCTTTTGTCTCTTACCACAAATGGACATGCCCACCCCAACCCCCCACCTTCCCAAAAAAAAAAAAAAAAAAGATTACTAGTAGACTCTAGGCGCTTGATGTCCCTGGAGGTCCTCAGGAAGTAGCATCGCAGACACAGAAAGATACCAAGCAGAGGAACAACGGGAATAAGGATCCAGGGGATGATGACGGCGGCTACTGCAATCACTCCAATGACCTGGAGAAATACCTGGGAGAGAAGACGGAGTGTGAGCACAATATTCACCACATAGCAACAGAGTCCAAAGCTCTGCTGCTGCTGTGCGGGCTACCATTGGAGCAGTGAGGTCTATTTCTTAAGGCTGAACAAGAGAAAATCTTTCAGCCATATTTGTGTGAGACCATCGCAGACATAAAGTAAGGTAACAGCAGGTTGTGGGACTGAGCTTATGTGACTCACAGTGTGAAAGGAAAACGATCGCAGCGCTAATTCTCACTTAGTAGCAGGTGAGAATTTACCACTTTGGCCACTGCAGCTCATATCCCTGGCTCTCTTGGGCTTTCCCTTCAACACTTCTGGCCTGCAAACCTCCCTGGCAGAGCAGCCAGCCAACAGGCATGGCCACAGTGACTGGCAGAGAGCTCTGGGAACCACACTGTGGGTGTCTGATACATCGCACTCAGACCGCACAGGCCTCAACAACACAGTGACTCATCACCCGTGTTAATGGCTCTGTGACACATCTAGACCAGGATACCAGAGCTGCCTAAACAGGATTGGAGGCTGTAAGTCTGATGGCTATCGAAGCACACACACCTGCACTGTGTTTAGAAAATGGGAAAAAAGCATCTGAAAATGCATCATTATGATTGTTATTATTATTAGGATAAAATGCTTTTTCTATGACCCATCTGTGGTGGTAAATATCAGGGACTCAAGCACATTTAACCAAGTACAGTTGTGATGTACTTGTACTTAAGTATTTCCCCTGTGAGGTATCTACATTTTAGAGGTACATACTGTATTGTTTATACCAATACAGTGGCGTAAATCGCGAAACACTGATATAAATATATTAGCAATTATAGCAGACATAATTCAACAATCTGAATGGTACATCTTTACATAAAGGATATTTCTACTTCTGACACTTCGAGTACAGTTTACTCTTGTTTTGTTGCACATTATTGTTTGCACTACACTCACACAGGACTTTTCTACCTGACATATGACACTTATTGTACATTTTGCATTTTATTATTGTTTATTTGTGCTTATTTATCAGTATTTATGGTGGTGGTAACTTTGTCTTTGGGATGTAACAACCAAATTTCCCCTTGAGGATTAATAAAATACTTCTATTCTATTCTATTCTATTCGAGTTATACTTGCAACAAAGTCTATTTGTACGTTTGTAATTCGATTATCACTCTAAGATATGAATATCTGTGCCACAACTGAGAATTAAATGCAATAACAGTAGCTGCATCCTTAAAAATCTAAAACAAATTCTATACAATTACAAAATACTAATTGTAGGCGGATTAAACAACTGATCACATTTACTGACATAATGAACTTTTTATTTTAGAAAGCTTTTGACTTTGACCCTTTAAATACATCTTGCTCATACCACTTTGGTATTTTCCTTTAAGATGCAGGGCATTTAGTTCCAGTGCAGTGTGTTTATCATGTGCTACTGATACTTTCCCTAAGTGAGGGATCTGTATATACGTGAGGCCATCTACTCTTAACTGGAAGGTATACTGTGGTACATATTTCATATTCGATTGAAACATGATAAAATTGAAACCTCACACCCTGAAATTAGATACATCCTCAGAGATGAATCCCAAAACGCGGAGATTATGATCGTACTGTTACCTTCAGTGGTCTCAGACTAGCCCAGAGAGATGAAAATTTAATTTAGCACCTTAATTACGGATGTTATCTGCCACTTAAGCACACATTTAAGCATGATCACTTTCAGTGTAGTTTTATGATGAAAAGCCACTCAATTCCATTTGCAGTTCAGATAAGAGGGAATTACTAGTCTAACCATTGCTGTGGTGGAGCCCACACAATCAAACTGTGAGTCGAAGCTACTGAGCACAACTGATCCCAAGAATTTCACAGTACATAAGTTTCAATCTTAGCCTTGATGGAAGGCTACCAGACTGCAAAGTGAGATGATGGCACACGGGCCATTACTGCATGTTATCCAGCCTTCCCTTGAGGAGATCAAATATTAACTGAACAAATGTCTTATCGTGGAAGCTGTTTTTCTTTCACTCCCCGGTTGGTGATTGGTGACATGGTGACACCGCTCATTCACGTTCGCTGGTTGGTTAATTTGAATGCTAATTGGGCCTATTTCAGCAGTAGGCGCAAAAAGGTCTGAGCCGGGCCAGGCTTATCTGACGGTGGGGTCATCTGAGGGGACGGAGGAGAAACGGGAACCATTAGATAGAAGTCTTGCCTCCTCCTCCTCCTCCTCCCCAGGGTCCGCTGTCGCCAGGACCCTGTTTGATGTGATCCATTTGCGTGGTTTGGCGCTTATCGTGTCAGCATCGGGAACACCGTGGCCCCCACCCACACTACACACAGATGACCACGATAAGTGATCCTACAAGCACACACCTCACCCCCTCAGACCACATCCATATCTCCTATGAAACCACACAGGAACAGTAAACTCCCAAAGCCACATCCCGCTGCACATAAAAGTGGATAAAAGGATGAAAGGTTTTGTATACAAACAGTTTAAATAAAGAATTACCACTAATAGCTCTTTAGCAAGAAAAGAAAGCTACCGCACGCATGTGATTCAGCCATTCAAGCAAACTGGGCGCACTGCTGTGTCCAAAGACCATTCAGATCTCTGCTGACCCTAATTGCTTTATTTTCTCTATGATCCTATCAGCTCTTTGATGTCCAAATAAATGTAGAAAATTGAAGTTAATTGCTATATTTGTGTTCGGCAATGATAGCGACTGTTGTTCCACAGCAGAAAATAAACACTTCCCTTTTAATTAAACATCCCTCCAGACACAAGGAATCATTATGCTTTTTACAACCCCTTTTTCATCCTCCCTTTATTTACTGACAGTGCGCAATATTTGCCACTGGGAAAAAAAGTGCAAACAAAACAGGAAATGAGGGAATGAGGGGAGAGCATGGTAAAGAAGAAATTCTCAAAAGGAGCCCTCTGTCATCGCTGGAATTTTCTTCCCCGTTTTTTTTTTAACTCCACACTTTCCGTGACAGAGCGGCACAATAAGTTGCAAGGGTCAGTGGTACTGAAACAAAACAGGGCTGTTCCACTTTGGCTCTGGAACAATACAAGTGACCCAATCCATTCTGCTCTGTGTTTGGGCTTTATTTTAGCATTAAATGCCCAGATGCTGTGGCTTTTCTTTGGGAGAAATGACTGTGGACACCTCCTTCACATTTTCCCTTTCTGGGCCGTTTTCACTTCATAAAGCTGCAGTCAATGTGTTTTGTGTGCGGTGAGGAGGGTCTGACACATACTGTGGTGGTCTCAGTCGCTGTCTACATTGGTGGCTCAAGTAGTCCTAGGATTAGGCCTTTGTGTGCTGTGAAAAGGTAAAAGAAGTCACTTATTTGGGCTCAGTCAAGCTGCTGATTTCCAACCCCATTTTGGAAATAAGAGAAAGGCTTTGAAATGCGGTCTCTCTGACCCTCTCGCTCTCTACTATAAATCACTAGTGTCCGGCAAATTCATTCATTCAGTCATTGCTTCATTCTCTTGGAAAACAACACAAAAAAACATTTTCAAACACACACACAAAGAAAAACAACCATTCTCACACACAAAAAAGTCACAGAAAGCCCAGAATTCATTATCTTCGTCATACTGGTATGAGGTGAGATTCTAGATTAGATTGGGACTTTGTTATGTAAGTTCCCAGGCTCCTGGGTCTGGCCTGCATGTCTGAGTCAGAGCAGCTGAGGTGCTGGACCGCAGCATCATGGGAGACCACACATACACACACTGGAAGCTTTTGCTGGCCGATGCTCGCCATCAAATGACCATGTGTGGTATTGCTGAGTGGCCACTTAATTATACCCATAAGCACACACTCACCCACACGATGTTGTTTTCTTGTGTTTTGGCTTCTATTTACACCGATTCATCAAGCGAGTGAATGAAACGAGCCGGATAGGGATCTTAAGGCTTCTCACTTTTCTCTGTCTTGTGTGTTTCACCTTGTGCAGGAAGACAATGGCACTGTCATAAAAACAATGCTCCGAGGAGATGTATGGCACAGCCTATATATTTCCACACCGGACAGTTCTTCTGTGTTTCTCAGGCTAACCTTTGTCATGCCTGGAGCCAGTGCATTCTTCACTTCTTCTGTCACCGGCGTGGTAAAGAAGCAGAGAAAGCCGGTGAAATCCCATCCTACAGCACTCACGGTTACGTCAGCAGTTCTCATATCCCACAAAGCCACTGAAGAGGCCTGACACACAATGTGCCACAATATAGAGACTCGCACAACGATCCACCCGCCAGTGTTTTTAGACAATAGCCATCTTTTGCTTTGCATTGGTGTGTCGGTTCTTCTGTGCTGGGTTTGTATCTGTTTTTTGTTTTTTTTCCCCCCTTACATAGAAATGATTTTCTCTTTCGGTGACTGTTGGGTTTACTGCGGTAACTTCTGAATTATGACACGGTGTTAATGCCCACCGAGTCACGCTTAAATGAAAGTAGCTGCCAGTCTTAGCATAAACACCCTGACAAAACTTGTGTGGACAAGAAGGGCTATAAATGCAGTGCGAGACCCAACAGTTAGTGGTGTGACTTGGTCAAGAGCCTTCACACAAAATCCACTGAAAGACCCCCGTACTCACCCCTTATTGTCTTGGCCTCCTCCTCTGCCCCCTCTGTGAAAATAGAGGCAACCCAGGATTTAAAGGTCAAGTCCACACAAAAGCTGACAGTCCCCAAAGCCTGAGGTGTTTTTAATTGACATTTCTGTCTTTGTCCCCCTGACCATAAAGAGGGGAGAGAAAGAGCCTTTTTTCCCAATATACTAAATTACTACTAAATGAGACCTGTGAAAAAATAGGGCTCTGGGGTGTAAGCAGGTTCCCCCAGCTTGAGGGAATCCCCTTGTTAGGCAGGCATGGGGGCAGTGCTGAAGGGCTGTGAAGTGCTTACTCCACCATAAAAGGGGAGGCTCAGGCACAAATCCCCGCACAGAAGCGGCCTCTCTCCATAGAGAGAGATAAACCAGTTAGGGCATTGTTTATGAAGTTTCACTTTATTCCCCCCTGACAACCATTTAAACAATGACTATGGGGAAATGTCCCTCTACGAATGAGCAACAATAGTCAAGATCAGCAGCTTTTCTGTGCAGCTAATACTTTGATAAAAAGAGTGAAAATCGTCCTTCCTGAAAGCATTAAAGACGGGTCCATGAGAGACACCTGCAAACAAGAGCAGAACGCAGCACAAACAAAAGTGCTTTGTCCAGTGGATGCCACCTTTGTCCACTACCACAATCACATCCCCACTTTCTGATGCAGCAAAAGACTGCCTGAAACAATGTGCGCATTATACATCCAGTCTAATGTTGGCACAGCTTGCTTTTCACTTATCAAATGCTATTTTCCCACTTTTGTTTCAACACAGGTAACTATTGAAATGGCGAAACAAACGAGTCGCACGTGAAGTTCAGCGAGTACGTATGTGCAACCCAAGTCGGTTTTCTGGTCTGTTTTCGCTCTTTTCGGTTGGACTTACGGGCCCTCCACAAAGTTATTATTTTACTTTAACCATTATTCACCTTATTATCAAAATGAGGAGAACTATAGCAGACAAAAAGCTTTTGTGCGTATGATCTTTTGTGCTTTCAGCATTTAAGATGGCTTTTGTCTACCGTGAGATGGGTATCTGCCACAAACATCACTCAGGCATTGTGGAGGGGGGATTCATTTTCAGCGTGCCTTTGTTCTATTCTTTGGCCCGAACCAAGGAGCCACGCCTGCTCCTCTACCTCGAATTGTGCAGCGAACATTCCCTTCTTTGTGGCGTTAGGTGCATGAGTTGGCTCATCTCCGCAGGCTTTCGTGGGAGATGGCTGTCACGGTGGCAGGGTGGCATTTGGTAACCTAACCTGGTTATGCACCAGGGTGGCCCTTGGCTACCAGGCCAATAAGACTGTAAAGCATTAGGTGAATTGTGCTGAGAGGCGAAAGTCCTGCTCTGGATCTGTTCCAACTGACCTGTCCCCTTCCCCCCCCTCTATCCAGGTCCTGCAAACACATCGCATGCCTGCTGCTCGCACTTTTTTCCCCTCTTTGCCACTCAACACATCATCCTCGTCACACCCTCGCCGCCTCCCCACTGTTCCCCAGCCTCCGCATCTGACCCATCATCATGCGGCTTTATTTCCTCTTTGGTGCCTTTTTCTCTCCCAATCACTTGCTTAGTCTCCATACACATTCCCTGAAGATGCCACTTCTGTTGTGTCACACTGAGGAAGCCACGCCCTCAGCCTATGTGCACACTTTTATTAAATCTGTGCAGGCGCTGGGCCGCGCTGGCGGGTAATCCTACAGTAATTGTTTCCAGATTAGGGGACCCGGACCACAAAGCAGGTTTAGCCAGGCATGAAATGGCCTCCCCATGCTGCAGCGCCAGCGACCAAACCTGCCGAGGTGAGACTCACCTGGATAAAGTCCACAAACGTCCATGGAAGCAGAGAGTCCAGGTAACCAATGTCCTTCGAAAACCTGTTGAGGATTCTTCCTGAGAAACAACACAACACAAAAGAAACGGATTAAGACAAGACCAGAGTAAAGAGTTGCGTAATAGAACCGCGCATTTGACAGCAGAATTTAGTCATATTGGTTATAAAGATGTTGTGCCATTTGTGTATTCAAAATTAATGCACTCAAGTGAGCTGAAAAATTAAGTGAGTATTTATCATGTAATGTAATTTACAGCTCTAACTTCGACTAATCCCATATGGCATTTGGAACAACAAATCAAACTCAAACACAGATATGCTTTATCCATTTGCTACTCTGCACCCATAGAAACCAATTTTTTTCTGTTGATTTAAATGTCCTATTGAGCAACTGTTACCAAAGTCCCTTCCAATTTAATAGAACACAGCTTATACATTGAGCGTGATATCAGATGGAAAACACAGGCCTATCTAGATTAAACAATGAATCATTATTTGTCTAGCATTTCATAAAGACTGCCCTACTCTTGGCTGAATACGTGAGGGAACCTTTTGTTTGTTAACAAAAGGGCAACAGAAGCTGCGTACCTGCCTTTATGTTCTGACTGGCAGTGTCTGTGACGTTAATTGAGTTGCCTCCAATCTGCTCAGGTGTTCATTATTTTGGCTGGTGCTCTGCAGGTGCTGTGGCAGCCCTTTATTGTCACTCCTTTAGTAACTTTGCTCCCCTATTCTGATCCCACAGCACATAAGATTACACTCCAGCTGCTTTCACACACTGTTTACTGCAGGGTCAGTGATAGCCAATCCCCACAGTACACTTCCTAAAGGCAGGCAAGACAGAAAGGCTTTTGCTATCTCTGTCCCTGAAGGAAGCCGCCAGACTCTCAGAGGCAGACAACAAGTACCACGGCAGTGCCAGAATTGCCGCGGCTAGAACAGGGCTCGCGCTAAAAGGCACGAATAAGCTGTGAATGTGCTGTACGTCTGTGGCGTGCTCTTCCTCGTCAAAGTGTGTCCAAATTGGTGTCATAATGTACTTAGGAAACCGATTGTCTCTCACCATGACGCACTGCTAAGCAAACAATTACATCTGTCTGAAGAGAATGTAAATAAAGCAGTACTCACAAATATAGGGTACAAGCCCTGATAAAGTGAAACCAAGCACACAAGCATGCAGATGAGTTTATCTAGGCTCACAGAATAGGCCGCGGAGCAGGGTGGGACTTGGTAAAAGTACAGAGAAAGGAACAGAGGAGCGGCAGAATTGGCAGAATGTGGCGGTATGGCACTCTGGAGGCGTGGTGCAGCCATGGCACTGCTGACCTAAAAGTTGCCTCCCAGCCTCTGAGTCGGTCCTATGGAGGTGGGCCCTGTAATCACCTCTCTCCACGGCCGTAAGCAGCTTACAGCTTTATCCAAAATGCCGCTCCCGCCTAAAAACATGCATGCAGACGAGGCCGGGCTCCCCATAACAGCCATTGCATAAACCTAGCCAGAGCATTATTCCCCGCAACAACCCAGCAATGCTCCAAATCAGTACTGATTCAAAGTCAAGTGGCGTAAGCATGTTGTACACTTGGAGGCAGACTAATCTTATTCACAGTGTGAGTGCCCCTTTAGCATACAGACATCCCGAGGGGAGGGTTCAAGCAAGGGGGTAGAGCTGCTACTATACCAGTGTAGAATATCGCTGCTTTAGTCTGGGAATGGGGGGAGTACTTGTCAAACTGTGTTTGTGAAAGATCCAATAATATTTTATGTAATTTTACTGTCTAAGCCATAGATGACCCAAATTCATGCATATCTGACAAACAATGCCAATAAGAAAAGGATAGGTTTCTCCGGGTTACATCATACCATGGTTAGAGGGTGTTAGAGCAGAGAACATCAGTCAGCTATCAGCTGTTTGACAAGCGGCTCAGTTAACACAGACTTTCAGAGGGGATGAAGTAAAGACCCTTCTCCATCCTGCACAGACTATAGAGGGGATACATTACAGTGATGCAGTTACACAAAGACATTCACTGCATGGAAATGCCTATGAGGTAAGATCGGTGTGGGACAATGGCTTCAATCACTCTGGGTGGTTGTCAACAATATCACCTATTGTGTGGAGAGGGGTATAGACGTTTCAGGATATCAGCAGCATTAGTATCAAACAATTTCTCATGCTTTAAGACTCCAGGGGTGATTTGCACCACTTTTCAGGCTCAGGAAATATCAAGCCCTCCCAACTAAGGTGGCCTCTTAGGTGGAGATATTAGGTGAGCAGGGCCCCCAATCACTCTTAAAGAAGTGGAACAGTGGGGTCCGGCTCGAGCAGGACGTGTGGCAAATCGCTGTTCCCTGTAAACATCAAGATAAGGGGACGACTCAGAGCCGCTCCATGTGTGGGCCCCAGTGCAGTTGGTGGGGCCTTTCAGTGAGGCAAGTGTGATAATGAAGGAATACTGGGGAGGGGGCTGCCAAGGCTGGAGGTGGCACAGCTCACCTGCACTTCCATGAAGGGCCCAGAGGCCTGGGGCAGCCTCCCACCGCCGGCGCCTTGCTGCCAATACTAATACATTCTAAATCCATTCTCTTCGCTCACACCGCCAGGCTCCTGCAATCTCCTCTCCTTCCCTTTCATGCAATTAAATAGTGGAAGTGCCGAGCGAGGGGGAGCCCTATCAGCCATACTGCACACACACACGGCTCCATCTCCACATTCAATTTACACACTTCGATATCATCATCCTCTCTGCAGTACTTCCTTCACTTCACTCTTAACACTCTTGCATCCCAGACCTGAAATACAGACATTAAAAACATTGCCTCTGTAGACACAATTAGAATCTCACATCACTGACTACAGAAGATCTAATGTTCCCTGCGTCAACAGCGAGTGAGTGACAACCGGCTCTGCGATGGCCCACTATGCTGATGTGAAACGAGGACGGCAGATGTGAATGTGTGTCTGCGCGTGCGTGTGTGTGTGTGTGTGTGTGTGTGTGTGTGTTGACTGAAACTCCACTCCTTGACTGTGCTGATGAGCTGAAGCCCTGGCCTGCAGTCTCTGAGGGGATTAGCCCACTCAATGACACTAAATTACAGGGATCAACATCAGCTCAACACATCCACCGCTGTCTGTGCTGCTCTAACTGGATCACATTTGGATGAACAGCTGTAATAAGACTGTACATATTACTAAAATTGAGCAACATGAATATTTAAACTTGTAGAAATTCACACAACAGAGGAACTGGCTGTTTATGTTCCCGAACAAAAAAATAAATCACCCAGCTATCTAACAACTTATCAGATGACATTGTTACAATATATAAAGGTTTATAATCACAAAAGCACCAACTTGGAAATCAACTATTTCCGTAGAGCACAAAAGATAACGCAAACACAGATTCAAATGGCATACAGTCATTCAGTGGCAGATACAGGAGAGCGACGTTGCTTCTCCATCAATCATAATTCCCCACAGCTGTACTCTTTTGTTATAAACGACCTTCAGAGAATAACAAATAAGACCTTTGTGCGCTGATGCTTGAAATGGTAACCTTTAACTCTGAGGACAGCTATCAAACACTGGGCCTGTTCAGAAGCAGCAGCGGCGGCGCACCTATCACTTACACATGTAAACAGTTGTCAAATCCTTAACAGCACATGGGCGCGCAGTTACAAATCACTCACACTTACGGCAAGACAGGAGTGGATGTGGAAGCTGTGATGGCAGTTATTGTGAAAAAGGGGGGTGAAAAAAAAACTGTTTAGACAGAAGCGAAGCATTAAGACAGAGAGAAGAGACACCGGCGGAGCTGACAACAGCTGTCGCTGTGTTGTTGTTTTCTTTAAGGTTTTACTCAAGGGGATGATTGAGTTGGAAAAAAAAATACACAGCAGAAGAAGAAGAAGAAGAAATAATGTAAAAACTTATTTATATTGTGGAGATTTAAAAAAAAGAAAAAAAAAAGGTCATATTCATGTTTAATCTACAGCCGACTGCACACGGGACAAAAGAAACAGTTGACAGTAGACAGTTGTCTATAAATCCAGTCAAACACAGTGCTGTTTGCCAGCTTGGAGGCCAAGCTGTAATGACTGGACTGGTCACACAATGGTTACTGATAGCAGCACAACAGCAATCAGATAGCAGTGTCTGTTAAGCCTCTCCTTTGCTGCGCTATTAAACAGATTATTACATTATTCAAAGTGTTTGTTCTCCTCCTGTGCATAGATTACCAAGCAAGGCACACCCAGATAAGCTGTCAGGTAGCCCAGTGCATAACACAGCGGCAGCAGGAAAAACAAAAAGTCAAAGATTAAGACATGTGGTGTTTGCTCCAAACACAGCTCTGCAAAGGAAAGCTTCGTCGCTACACCCACTTCTAATGCCAGCAGAAACCGCAAGCTCCTGAACACCCTCAAATCATATTTAGACTTGTGTTACCAGCTTATTATGACTCATTATACAGATACAAGTTCCCTTCTTGTTGAGAATTCCCACCCGAGCTGATTGTGTTGTACACGCATGTCACTATGAAGAGATTAGGCTGAGTAATTATCTGCTGACAGGTGAACAATGATCCAGAAAAATTAAAGTTATCAAAGTGGGCCACTTGACAGTTGAGTTTGGATATGAATGACAGATTGTAGTGACACTACTTCCTCTAATTAAAATAGGCCTTTAATTAATGCAGCAAAAATCATGGAGATATAATATCAAGAAGAGCAACGCATTTTTTTTGTCAACAATTCAAACAAATCTTGAACTCTGCTCTCAGCTTTATTGGTTTTTATTTTTTAAAGGAATTGCAAAATTTACCTGAAAGAAAAAGAAAAAAAAAAGCAGCAGCCTTCCCTGAGTAAAGTCAGACGTATTTGGAGTGTTTGCTCACTTTTAAAATCGTGTCCATCTGCCCACTCCATTGACCCAGCAGCTAGAGCCTACAAAGCTAATGAAATAATCGAAATTTCTGATACAGCGCGCAAGACAAATATGTCTGTATTTACACAGCTCCACAGTCCAAACACAACATTGACCAAGATCTACTGCAAACAGGATTTATTCAATCTGATTGTTTGCCTTTTTGTACACGCTCACAATAAAAAAAAAAAGATAGCACTCTCTTTGCTCATTCTGAATAGGTTATGGCTAAATATTAAGTCATATAACAGGTTTTTTTTTTGGGGGGGGGGGCTAAATTGGCTCCTTGGTTGCACAGGCTTTACTCCCAGTTGTGACTTTTGTCATATCAGTTTATTCACAGTCAAAACTTAAACCCAATAAACTAACAGCAAACAATCTTAAACTAAATTTATAGTTATTATAGATGTTTGATTCTCTAATTACCATTCACCAGCCATGCATACTATTATTAAACAATAAATGGGAAGCTAAATAGGATAAGGATTTAAAATATTGAAACAGAAAAAATATTTAGGATTTTTTTGTTGGGAAAAAAAAAACATTTAAAAATGTAAATTATTATATGACATGGAACTTGATTGTGGTGCCAAACTATTTACTATTGACGCTAAAGCATTTGAGTGTTTGTGAGTGGATAAAAACATGACAAAGTAAGTAACAGTCTGCTCTCTAGTGGTGAGATGTTACAACAATAACTCCACAGCAGGTCCATCTGGATGTTAACATCTCATAATCATCTCATCATCCTCGTACTACACTGACCATGCCATAAATAAGTCCTCAGCTGTTTAAACTGGAGCTCTGTGCGCAGGCGAGTCGCTTACCTATTGGGTTGATATCGAAAAAACGTATCGAGGTCCGTAGGATGGCGTTGAACATGCTGTTGTGCAGGGTTTGGGCCGAGCTCACGAGGACGTTGAAGAAGATCAAGCAGCGGAGGAACCCGAACACAACTGAAGTGGCTGTTAAACCTGATAAGAAGACAGAAAAAAAAATCATCAGCACACTACAGAGGCACCATCAGCTATGTATTTATGGTAACATTATTAAGCGTATTGTATGACCCAGAAAACAGACGCACTGTATTCCATTTCATTGTTTGTTTTTCTTCAATTAAGTTTTTTTTTGCTCTCACAAATGCAGATTTATTACTGTGGATACAAAGCATGAAAGAGTACAGAGGCAGGAAGTCACAAGGAGACAATCAGAGCAATCCAACAGCAGAGAACAAGAAAGGTACTGCTATCTCCCTGTACAGCTGAGGCCCATGTACCCATACACTGGGCCTTGAAGGCCTTGGGCCACAGCCAAAGAACTGTGGATCTGTTTATTGAATGGCTGCCGCATTCAGAGACTCGACAGTACACAAAAAGCAATGTGCGCTCAGTGAGCTTCACCTGCGTAAACACCTAGGTACAGGTCAAGGTCCAGCTGCCGAGGAAAGCTGCCATTGAGGTGCTCTGTCACACTGATGTGCTTCTGTTCAGAGGCCCTGCAAGTCAGGCACAAAGGAAACAAAAATCCACAAGGACAAATAAACACAACGAAGAAAGAACGCTGCAACATGAAGGCACTATACAAAACACATTTCTCCTATCCCGACGCACAAGGTCAGTTTCAACAAGTGACAGATAATGTCAGGAAACACGGCTTTCTTCAGTTATCCTCTATTAAACCATCAACCACTTTCAGTCGGAGAAAATATGCCAGTTTCACTTACAAAACATGTTTCTGGCAATGTTCTATGTTCACAGGGGGTAAAGAAACAAAATCTCACCAGCACGCAATCCACCAGTCCTGCAGAACAAATGTAATCTAAACAAGACACACACACAAAAAAAAATCAACATTAAAAACAGAGTAATGGATAAAACACATCACAAACCTACTACTTTGACTACTAGCCATTAAATAATTAAATTTCATTTGAGATAAATTATGTGGCTTTTTTTTTTTCCCCAGCAGTGTTAGCAAATTAATTGAAGAAATGAACTCACATGTGCTAAGGCATTGAGTAAAATGAGCACCAGGAGGACCAGGAAGTTCGCGCCTGCCATGAAATATTTCACATACATACGCAGGCCGACGTTTCCTTCTAAGCGGCTTTCCTCCTCTGTCGGTTGCACTACCTACAGAGAGACACGAGTGTCAGTGCCAGTCATCCAGCATCACTTCGAATCAGGGCTGTAAGGAGCAGCAGGAGAATAAGGTGAGCAGATTCTGCTCTCTAGTGGCCGAAAGGACAAACAGCAATTTCACAAAACGACATTTTCAAACATGCGGCCTTATAGATCAGTTAAAACTGGCCTTTTTTTTCTCAAATAAGGTTTATTTAGCACATGTAAATCAACCAGAGTTCATCAAAGGCCTGGAAACATTTCAAGGCTAAAACAGAAAAAAAAAAAAGAATGGAAATAAGATATATGTCAAGAGATGCAAAGGAAAAAAAAGTGTAACGTCAATTTGTAAATAAAGAAATCTAAAATACTAAGACCTCTGTGGACAATCAAAGACTATTAAAACAATGCACACCTTCAGTTTTGTCTTTTGTCACTGGAGAGGGAACATTTGAATGAAGGGTTCCTCACAGTTAAAAGCAATTGAGAAAAGATCTAAGAGGTGAAGTCTAAAGAGTATGTAGACAGCTGTCAATTCATGCATGGCTTTAAAAACAAATGGCAGGCAGTCAAGTGTACAAATGCTAGTACCAGTCTCATGCTGCTACCAGTTACCACTGCAGCATCCTAAACAAGCTGCAAAGAAGGCAACCAGGATGGACCAAAAACCAGCTTTTCAGAGATTAATGCAGTAACAGATTCATACATTGAGAGCGAGGATGGACTTCAGTTTAGCAGTGCTCCTCAGCTGAAGACATTTCACTACTGAGTTTATCTGTTTGTCAAATTTCAGCTCAGGGTCAAAGGTAACACCAAGATTCACGGCATGAAGGCTAGATATCAATGGCCCTACTTGGCGAGCTATACTCACTCTGGTGTTGGAAAGGAACCAGAAACAACCCCACTGTCTTGCTATCATTTGGCTGAAGACGGGTTTGTTGCAATCCAGCATTTCGCATCCTGGAGGCAATTAACCCTCCGAACATTAAACCCTCTTGGCAGGCTTGAAAGACGTGTTATTTTATTAAAAAATGCCAAAATTCCACCATTTATCAGAGCCAGAACAAGAACAAAGCAATGCTTAGATTTTCTTTCCAACAGGCCTTGAACTACTCATCTGTCACGGAAAATAGTCCAAACCTAAGCTTAAAACTGTGATATTCCATCAGAATCATGTTATTCTCTGGCTATTCAAAAATTAGCCAAAAGTGAACCATTTGCACTCACCAGCTTCTCTAAAAAAAACAAACAATTCTGCACAACCGAAAAGCCACGTGACACAAATTAAGCGACTTGCACTAGACTGAACTGCAGGTTGTGTTCACACAGCAGAAAGAAGAAGAAGAGCATAGAAACAATTTTAAAAATGCAACTGGTACAACATCTACAGCATGTAAAGCCAACATCTTTTCTTAGGCTTGGTATCACTAAAGGGCACCTGGAAGATGCATGTTGCTTCCATTTGATTTTTTTATTGTTGTAAAATAAATAATCAAAGAAATTCAACTCTAGTTTTTCCCTTTTCTGTTATTTATGATATTGCGGCTGTTACATACTGTACAGGAGAAACGTTTGAGCTCTTTCTCTACTTCAAAGTCATGGTTGTGCTGTTTCCAAGAAAGGTACACGACTTTATATTCCAGTGAACAATGAACCCACAGTGAGTAAAAATGTGAGGGAAGAGAAAAAAATCTAGTTACTGTTTGTGGTTCAGAGGGTTAAGGATGGATGTATTAGATTTAAAAAAAAAGGTACACTTGTGGGTCATTTTTTGAACAATGAAAGGAGACGTAATACAATTTAATTTAATTTTTTAAGTATACCTACCCCTGCAAGTGGCTCTGCTGTGTCAATCAGAGAGTACCGAGAGGAGGCCAGCGAAGACCTGGAGGACGTGGAGTTGTCAGACACTGTGTGGGGGAAGCGCGACACCGTGCCGGGGATGGGGGTCATGTCCTGCCTGTCCTCCTCCTGGTCCTTATCCTCCTTAAGCAGGGAGGTGAAGTCGAGTCCAGAGCCCTGCAATTCATTGTAAGTTCCTCGTGCCACCATCTGGCCCTGACAAAGAGAGAAAAGAGATGCAGTTAACCACCTGCGGCTTCACACAGTCATAGAAACTAAAGCATCTGTAGGCGACACAACATTTCAACAAAAGGCCACGTACCAGTGCAAATAGCACCATCATTAAACATTTATGTGGCCTCTACATTTGTTTTCCTATACAAGTAACTTCCAATCTCTTAGAAAAAGACAACTTATTTCCTTGTGTTTACTCTAAGTCACAATATTGCGAGTCAAAGAGCGTCTGCCATTGTGTTGCAAAAGGACAACATCCATCCATTATCTATACACCGCTTAATCCTCACTAGGTCATTGGAGGCCTGGAGTCTATCCCAGCTGATTTAGGGTGAAGGCAGGAGACACCCTGGACAGGTCACCAGTCTATCACAGGGCTACACTTAGAGACAGACAACCAAGCACACTCACATTCACACCTACGGACAATTTAGAATCACCAATTAACCTCAACATGGTTTTGGACTGTGTGGGAGGAAGCCGGAGAACCTGGAGAGAGCCCACACTGCACGGGGAGAACATGTAAATTCCACGCAGAAAGATCCCAGGTGTCCTCACCGGGACGTGAATGTGTGACCTTCTTGCGTTGAGGCAACAGTACTAACCACTGCTCCACCTTGCAGCCCCCAAAAAGGACAACAGTATCGTGGAAATCCATTGCTTGAATACTTAGTAATATTTCCCCACAAGTCAAAGTAGAATAGTTAATCATGCCTTTTTTAGTGTTTTAAATGCTAGAAAGTGGCTGTTTTTATTCAGTTTACTTATCCAAGCTGTAAAATCTATGTAAAGCTAAAGACGAGCAGGTGGAGAACGGCTGTGAATCCAAGCTGACTGACTGACAAGCTGCTGCTTAACTACAGACTTTAACTGCAGACATTAAGTCAGCGCAGCAGAGGAAGAGAGTTTTGATTATTTTAATTGCTGTTGTAACACACAGAAAGATTTTGGGTGTATAATTGCTATCAAGTCACTGAGCTGAGAAATGCACTGGAATTAGACATAACAGCAAAGGCTGCTAAAAGTGACAAAATCTCCTAAAACACATGTTCATGAATAAAACTATTTAAGCAGCAGTAATTCAATGTGTGCGTGCCATCCTAACCGGTAACACCTCTTGTATTGGCTTATTTGTTGCATAAAAATCCTGCTCCACACATGCACGCACCTCCTTTAGGACAACAATCTGATCCGCTGCCTTCAGATACTGGAGCTGATGAGTGACCAGGACACGAGGCTTTTTCTTCAAAAGTCCACAAATGCACCTGGTGGGAGGACATTTTTAGCACAAATTAAAAACCTATTCTTATCAGTAACACGTGGCTGATCTAATATTTTCACAAACAACGCTGAGATATTGGGACTCACTCTTCAAAGAGGTGCCGGCCCACCTCAGCATCCACAGCACTGAGCGGGTCGTCCAGTAAGTAGATGTCTGCATCGTGATACACTGCTCTAAAAATACACAAATATGGATGTTAACTTGTACACTGGTGCCAAAAAAGAGGGTGCATTTGCGTATTATTAGTCAGCAAACCTTGCTAAGCTGACTCTTGCCTTCTGTCCTCCACTGAGGTTGGACCCTCTGTCCCCGACCAATGCCAAGTCACCACCTGGCAACAGGTCCAAGTCCTGAGCAGGGTCCAAATGTAACTTTACCAGATATTCACGGTTACACTGGACTCACTAAAAGCCTGACAGGAATTGCCAGTAATCAGACTACACAGTATACAGGCATGTGATGAAGAAAAACATAATCTGAAGTGATTCTCACTCTCTGGAGGGCGCAGGCTCTCACAACTCTATCGTACTTCTTGGGGTCGAGCTCCTTGCCAAAAAGGATGTTGCTTCGAATCGTACCGGGTAAAATCCAGGGTTGTTGAGATGTGTACGTCAGCTCTCCTTTCACCTTGACGACACCGCTTTCCTGACTCAGCTCGCCCAGTATGGCACTGAGAAGCGAGGACTGACATGTACAGACACAGACAAGGAAAAAAAACAAACAAACAAAAAAACATTAGGATTTAAATAACAGTTTCGACATTTTGGGGAATATGCTTGAAATCACTTTAACTTGCTTAATCTTAGTGAGAACATCAGTACATATGGAATGAAGCATGGAGACAGTTTAGCCTACAAGGTAAAAAAAAACACAAAAAAAACTAAAGAAAACAAAAAAAAATAATAACTCTACACTTATCTAATTGTTTAATTGTATAGAAAAGTCTGTATAATTACAAACATTATCTATAAACTAACAACCCAACAGTTGCTGTAAATATTATGCAATAACACTAAATTACCTTTTTTTTCCCCTCTTCTTTTCAGAGTAGTTACCATATCATTCGTGCACTATTTTCTGTTGATTTTCCTAAATTACATAAAATTAATGGAAAATGGAATAATTACCTGGAATTAAAAATGTTGCTCTTTCTATGGAGGTTTACGCAAACTATAAATGTAACGTTTCTCCTCTTAAATTTAACTTAAATCTTATGTTATATATTTATGGGGCCCTTTTTACATTGACTCTCTAATACTTCAAATCATTTTATCCAACATAATTCAGAGATGTTTTCTAAAGCGTACAAAAATGCACCGCTCTCCAGGTTGAATCTTTCAGGCATGTTGTTTCAATCAATTAAACAAATTAATAGTAGTGTGTACTTTATTTGACTTTCAAAATATGTCAGTTATCTAACAATCTTTAGCATGTATTAACACTTTATTGAAATCTGTCGAGTAATGCTATCTCACTGCAGAATGTTTAGGGTTATCAATTTATCGAAGGTGTTTGATCAAAATCATTTTGTAAAAACTTCTAAAAATAACTCTGCAAAACGTATGATGTAATTTATTGTTTTTGCAATTTATTTGAATAAGACTATCTTATTGTATTTTACAATGCCAGTCATTGCATAAAAGAAATAATAAAAAGGCAATAAACGGTTATAACATAACTCTCTGCAAAATCCCAAACTGTCATTTGTGATTCTGTATGGATTAAAGAAAAACGCAACATGTTAAGGAGGCTTCAGTGCCAGCGCCTAGCAGCTGTAAAAATTGGTGGTAAATACAATTACCTTTCAGCATATGAACTATTTTGAGGTCCTAACATGCCTCCAGTTTATAATCGTGCGTGTGCGTGACTAAACCCGAGACAAGAGAACAGACCTGACCTTTCCAGCTCCAACAGGTCCAATTACTGCCAGGAGCTGCTCGGGCCTCACTGTGAAGGAGACGTTCTGTAAAGTTGGAGCTACAAGAGTCTGAAAAGAAAAAAATAAATAAAAGAAAAGAGAGTAAAGTGGAACAGGTTTTCCATACATTTCTCCAGGAGACTTCACAGGCATCTAAAGACTGCATGTGACACATATTTGAGATAAAAAGGGAGACACGTTCCCCACAATGTTTCTCACCTTATCCCAGTAGCATATCAAATCCTGAATTTTCACCATGCAGTCCTTCTTGTCTGCCACAGGGAGTCCCAGGTGGTGAGGAGCGACTTCATCCAGCAGGAGAAACTTCTTAGAAGAATAAATATAAAGGTCAGTTTCTAAATAAAGTAAGCAACACAGTAGTTGTAAATATAGCCGCCGGTGTGTGTGATGAATTTACTTTAATCCTTCGGATGCTGATGAGAGACTCGGAGACCTTCTCTATGGCGAAGGGAAAGAAGAGCGTGATGGTGAGTCTGACCGCCCCGTACAGGGAAACGGCCATAAACACTCTGCTGGCAGACAACGTGTTGCCTGAAAGTACGTAAACGCAGACGGTGATGAAGATGATGATCTTGCTGGCCACGAAAAAAGACGCCATATTCAGGCCGCGCAGGTACGAGCTTTTCATGATCTTGGAGATTTCCATTCTGTACAACACAAAACACAGTGTTAGTATAAATGCTGTTTTAGATATTTTCATTTCTGTAACGTCTCAGCTAAAGTTTGATAAAAAAGGATAGCATGAGCTTAGTTAGTGTTTGGCACAGATAGAGGAACCTGCAAACAATGTCATTGCACAACACAGCAACGTTTTACTACTTTCTCATAAACCATTGTATTTACAATAAAAAAAAATGTGGAAAACGTTAGAATTTCACAATATTGTCACACTCACAAGTGTACAAACTGAGAGTTGATAGCAGGCAGACATGATGAATTGCAGAATCTATGAAAATCCAGATCTACTGTACCTTCTGACCTCATCCACCAGCGCACCGAAGGGCTTCTCCCACCCGTACATCTTTATCACTCGGATCCCAGAAATGACTTCACTCATTGTGCGAATTCTCTCATCTGCCAACGTCGCTGTTTCAGCCCTAAGAGCAGAAGAAACAAACTGCAGCGATGGAACCAGGAGTGCAGTGATGGAGTACAGAAAAACAGCTAATCTCACACAAGGCTACAAACCTGAGAACGGAGAACAAACGCCCAAACATGGTCTGCAATGGCATCAGGACGAAGAAGACGGCCATTCCAGCAAGACATGACGGACCGATCGCGTACATCAATAACACTATCACAGATCCTGCTTGAAGAGGACCGATCCACAGAAAGTGCAAATATAAGGTCACCTGTGGGAAAATGACGAAGAGAAATATTGTCGAGGAAAGGTCTGTTGGAGCCATTTTCAGCCCTTTATGATTTGATCCAGATGTCTGATTGATGGATAGAATGTCACCAGGTGCTTGGTGTTGGGCACTAAATGGGTGTTCGCCAGCGCCCCCTTTTTTGTGAGCCTGATTTACTTATGGGAGACAGGTGAGGGGGATGAGCTGGCAGGAGTGGTAGGACACCAGTTTTTTGACCGTAGTCCGATACGAACATTATGAAATCTTTCTTTTTGAATATAATAAACGGAACGAAGAATAACTGCCTACGCGTCAGAACTTGAATTGCTCCTGTCATATGTGGATCCGAGCACATGTATGATGCTAGATCATGAATGCATGCATCAAAAATGAAATATTCTTTTATACAAAGAATTAGAACATAAACTAAGGTGCCAGTTTATTCGCTATATCCATGCGATAAATGGTAGAACTTTGTGTTTCTGATTTTAAACCTACCCTCACTTATGTAAATGCATTGGAAAAAAATCATAGAAATACCCCTAAATACAATGCAATACATCATAAATCACGAATTTGACTCAAAACCCCTCCAAAACGGAAGCATTATAACTTCCATGAATGTAGGATTTCAATTACCTCATCAAATTTGTTGACATCATTGGATAAGAGGTTCACAATCTGTCCTGTGGTCGTCTTGGCCATTGCTGCGCTGTTAAGACAAAGAGCCTACACAGAGCAAAAACATTAAATCAGGTTTATCTGACAGAACCAAATCAGCATGTTCTACAGGAATGTGACAGAGGATATGGTTTACATGTCGATGCGTCATAATGACTGACCTTTCGATAAATCATGTGGCACATGGCCACACGGATCTTCATGCCTACTCGTTGGACGTGATAGAAATAGAGATGATGGAGGATAGTCAAGGCGAGGGTGGACAGCGAGATGCCTGCAGCGTAGCCGTAAGCCTCATTGACTGCGGCTGAATTAGTGGGGTCATAACTCTCAAAGTACTCAATCAGCTTCCCAAGTAGCACCGGCTGAACGACTTTGATTATTTCCTGTAGGAAAATTGAATGTATAGCAGATATGGAGAGTAGAGGTGCAGCATTAAATCAAAGCTTAATTCTTAAATAGAAATGCTGCTCGCTGTACATCTGTGGCTTCAGTGTGTGACTGTGCTGTACCTCTATAAAGATGTATATTCCAATGACTGAGTACGACTTCCAGAAGCACTTAATGAGAGGTTTGGTAAGTTCTGGTGGCCGCATATCTTTCGCTGCCTGTTGAACTTCCTGATTCCAGTACCTTAAAAAAGCAGGAAAGAGGTAGAAAGTAAAGCCATTGTTACTCCATGTCAGGACATTTTTAGCAAACATTGTTACACTAATGCACTGCTGGTGATTTCTTTTTTTTTTAAAGCAGCAAAAACCACTTAACTGTTTACAAGCAGCTATGTACACAGAGTACTTTCTGAGTTAGTTATTTATAGCATTTTATCATAACAGGAAAGTTCTAGAATAAATCTCTTATGGGCTACAGTACAAATTAGCAATTCTAATTGTCAGCTCATAACCCGAGATGCCCATGAGGTCACTAACGGACACTTCAGACATCGGCGATGACTTTTTATCCTGTCCTTGAGAGTTACTGTTAATTAAAACATATATGACACAAGCAAAGAAAGGCAAGACAAATTCAGTCATCACCTTACAAGACACAGAGAGTGGACAAATTAAAGGAAAAACCACTATGAAGATGTCTTGGTGAGGTGTTGGGTAGCAATGTGCAAAATGATGATGATTTCTGACAAAGAGTACTGTCTAACACATCAGCCCAAAATCTCCCATAGATGTTCAACAGGATTGAGTTCTGGTGACTGCAAAGACCATTGCATGTGAGTTACATTATTTATATACCAATCAGACCATTCAGAGACCCCTCATGGTCTACGGACAGGGGTTTTGTCATCCTGGAAGAGACAGCTGCTATCAGGTTAATAATGTTGCTTCAGAGAAGAAAGGTGATCATTCAGAACAATTTAGCACTGATTCGTAGCGACCCTTTCCTCTAAGGGGACAAGCTGGTCCAAACCACTCCAGCAAAACACCCCCTGCAGTATAACCGGGCCACCGGATCCCCTCACTGTAGGGGTCAACAGTTCAAGTCTTTAACTCATCACCCGTCTCAACATTTTGGTCAAGCACTGAAGCTGAACAAGCTCGCCAAGCTCTCAAGTCATAAGGCTCCTGACTGGAGTAACTCCTACAAGAGTGAGCGGGGAGGAGCCTGTCCACATGTGAGAGTTTGGAAAGTACTGTCTATATATAGGTGGGCGAACCTCCAAGCACATTGTCAACTCTGATGCCAACGTCCCTCAAAGGGGGGTCTCCCATATATAGGAGATGTCTAGGCTGGGAAGTGTCAGGCAGTGGTGTGGACATTTATGAGTCACTGGTTGGCTTCTGCACACTTGAACTTCTCCCAGTGGAAAGTGGGTCATTTTAATATGCTGAGTGCCACTCTGGCTGTTACATATTGTAGTTTAGGAGTTTTTGCCTTTGGTGAAGTAGAGAGTGGAGTCTTGAAAACCCAAACCTTCCAGGAACCATAATGTGGTGTGGATGTCATGAATGGGACATGTTATCTAAAGATGAGATCCGTGTTCATAGTTTACATTAGTCATTCATCCAGAACACATGCTTAGCAAGTAACACTAAAAGCTGCCACTATAGGATAGAAGTGACTTGTTTAGTTTCACAAACCATAAAAAGCATAGAGGTGGATCTTTTCCTTCATCCCTATCATAAAAGCAGATGCTAAAAATGGCCAAAAGTTCATTCATGTCCATCCTCTTGAAAACCTCTGAAATCTAAGTAAACACCAGCAGGGAAGTGGAGGAGTTCAGAAAAGTGGGTCTCAAGGGTCTGGTTGGTACTGAAAGGCCAGAAAGGCTGCATTTGCCATGGTTGTAAACCTCACTGAATGTAGCTGTAGTTCAAAGAGGAAAAGCATATTTTTGTGCAATCTCCAATCAAATCTGAAGGGACACAAAGATGGTGGATAAACCCACAGTTGTGGTGAATGTGAATCTGAGCGACTTAATGACCCTGCTGTTGGTTTACACTAGATCCAAGCAATATAGAAGTCAGCCTGTCGATATTGGCCTATTACAGAAATGCTTTTTTGACTAGAATTTCCCCCCCAAAAAAGTTAAAACAGATGTCTACAAAGTAATTCCAATTAATTAAAAATATAAAGCCCAAAATAAGTGACGGCATAAGTATTCACCCTCTTTACATGACTCATTAAACAAAGACACGCTCAATTGGGGCAAGAATAATTAGTGAAGTGGAAATCATCTGAGTGAATGTGTTTCAAGTGATTGTAATATAATCACACCTGTATCTGGGAGGTCCAGTCACTGGTGAATCAGTACTCTTTGTTATATCTACACCACGAAAGAATAAACCAAGTTTCTCCATAAGAAAGTTATTGAAAAGCAGAAGTCTGGGGATGGATATAAGAACATTTCCAAGTCACTAAATATCCCTTACAGTAGTTAAATCCATCTTTAAAAATGTAAGAAAGATAGCATGTGTAAATCTGCCTAGAGCAGGCTGTCTTCAAAAACTGAGGGACCGTGCAAGAAAGAAACTAGTGAGGAAGGACACCAAGACACCGATGACTCCTCTGAAGGCGTTACCTTCTGTACATTTTATATGTGCAGATATGAAAAAGGTTGTTGCTGTTACAAAAGACTATGCTTCAAAAAAAAAATGCAGATAAGATGCTTGGGGTAAGACATCGCTCCGGCAATGTGGCTTTGACTCCATTGTTTACAACTCTCAGCACTGTCTGCAGCACATGTAGCAGAGTCGGTATCACAGCTGAGCAGGGTTGGTGCGGGGTAAAGTGGGGTCTTCATGCTAAATTGCTAACTTGTCTGTGAAATACTAGCACATAGTTGGAAAGTTCAGAAACAATGACCCCTTTGATAGAACTCTAACACACAAACATATATACTGCATGAATAATATCAATGTTAGATTTTCATTTTACACCCTAAAAATCAGTCAGCAGCCCCCCAATCAAAGTATTATTCTGAGTGTAGTTCATAGTCTTCAGCTTGCTACAAAAGCTTTATTTATTTATTGCAAAAAACAGACTACTATTGTGTCTGAATTTATTCAAAGGAAAGGCTAATTAATTTCTGTGTAGATATTGACTTAACAGAATCACAGTAAATATGCCTCAATCCAGTGTTCCCGAGCTGATAGATTGATTTAATAATAAAGATAATCACAAAATTGAGACACATTTTGGAGAACAACAGAACAAAAACAATGAAAGACGCTCACTGTCTTACCACTGTAATTCATTTCCAAGTCGATCAGATGCGTCTTCAGGAAGAACTTTGTACATGTCATCTTCTTCCAATTTCCTCTTGTACCCGATGCTGAACAAGGGATTCAGCCAACTAAAGATGAATGACATAAAACGGTTACTGAAACTAGTCATGTTTGTGCAGGTATGAGTAAAAAAAAAAAAAAGTACATTTATTAAAGTAAATATGTTCTGTTTTGGGGCTGCAAGGTGGGCAG